TAAAGAGAGGCGGGTTTGAAAAGGTAGAGCCATATAAAAATCACCTGGGGATGAACTAGGTTCAAAATAAAGTTAAAACCTAGCAGCAACTTGACACACAGCTGCCGTGTTCAGTAACGTGAAGAGTGAGGCTACATGCTTTACGCCCCATACCCTCAAGCTGGACCAGTCTTCGGCAGCCAAACGCGCGGAGTTCCCAGAGAGGACCATACTACCGCTTCAGTTCACCGGCTGTCATCCATCTGAACAATCTAGAACACCGCCCATTAGGATAAACCAAAAATCATTTAACGAAGCTGAAGAAGACCGTTCATATCGTAGCCTTCATTGCCCTCACTCTGATAACTCGAGCAATAGGCATCCCTCGAGGAGACTTCGCGTTCCATGTTATGATTCTAAAACAGATACGCAAAACAACTCAGTCCAGCACCTGAAAATGATAAACAAGAGCCATATATTTCACATGTGATTCTGAGTGTCTGATGATCCTGACGCAGTCTACCGGTGTCTGGATGCAGAGTTGCTCTCAGCTCCAGGGCTGAAAGTCCTAATAAACCATCGTCTTTGAGCTGTACGGCCATCTGGTTCAAACAGGGTTAATGGAACCCGATACGATAGATGTATCTGTAATTATAGCATACATACCGACAGACTGCATCTCAAGCTAAGAAAGACGGCTCTTATGGAGATCTGTCACGACTGGTTCGACCAGCAAGAAGTGCAGGCATCGTCAGTCTGGTGAGTGATCTGAACGTCCGATTTGGACCGATACGTCGGGAAAAAACACAGTTGAGTGACAGATCCGGTTTCCTCAAAGGCTATACAGACAACCGGCACCCGAATTCTTCAGCTTCGCACTGTACATAGTCTGTTCCTAGCCAGTGCGAACACTCTTTGGGAGCGTCCACACTAGTACCAGCCAAAGATACAGGCAGATAAGGTGACGGTGCAGTTTCAGGTGAACTGCAATTCATTTTAGGTAAACAACTTAATTACGAATTACGTGAGTCACCGTAGCCGAACCCTATCGAGCCGACCTGGTTGGAAATTTGCCGGGAAATCACAAGTATGATGGGGATTTCTTAGAGGTGAGTGGACGGAAATGAAATGTATGATCTTGGCCACTAAATACCATGATGGAATACACAGATCCCAACATCGGATAATCAATAGGTCAAAGAATGGTAGATGACGCTGACAAAATGTGAAGGCCCCATAGATGTAAAGGATTTCTGCTGAAAAACAACAGCACTCTATTTCAGTTGATTAAATCACTTGACCAAAAGAATGTGGGCACCGGAGAAAGGATTTGCGAAAAGCAGAATGGCAATTCGTTCATGTCTTAATCGATGAACTGAACAGAAGCTCTGAAAGAATCGGACAGAAGTAAATGGAAAGACGACAACACCCCTCAAGAGCAAGAGAAATCCAAAGCGAGATGATGTTCCTTCAAAACATCAAGGCACCCAGGCAGGAGGATTTGCATTCCACGCCCTCCAAATATGGAGAGTCCCTAGTGGGTAACAATTTGGAACGGAACAATATCTACGCAAGTAGTTTAGACGGCGATTCCGACGTTCATTAAGGTTGCAAGAACGTCAAACAAAAACCACAGTGGCATACGTTAGCTGGCTATAGCATCTAAGACGCTCTCTGGAATAGTCTTGCGCAGGTTGATTGGTTAAACGGAAAGGCAGATTCGAGGGAACCAAGCTACATTTAACCCTGGCCAAGGACACATTGACCATATCCTCATGAGAGATACTTGAATCGCGCCAGTCCCTGAAACCACCAAGAATGACCGTTGTTGTTGATCTGAAAGAAATGACGGCAGTGGAGACGATTCGCGCTAACTTATATGAACACCCACGGATCTACGCTTGAGCATTAAATGTTCAGTAGTGTATGGCATAACGAGTTCTTTATTAACGGTTGACCAGGTAGTATTTAATTTGTTCGCCAATTTTTATAACTGACCCGAAAACGCAGTGGTGTTCATTTGAAATTGTCCACCGCATGCCAGGTGACCACCAAAAACAGAAGCCAACAGAGTTCGGAAAACTTCAGAATTTTCTACCACGGAGCTTTATTACGAGCACTTTTCTTCACTAAGCAACAATCTTGTCGACCAGACACGAGAAACACTTTCTGGTTCCGGAAATGACTGATCCACACCAAAATGACGATGTCCTGCACAATTACCCTAGACTAAGCAGCTGGGTATGTAAAACCGCCCATTCAGTGCTCCTCCGTCTCGGGACACTGGTAATCTCACCTAGATAATGCTCGATTTAACTTGCGTAGCGGTGTAGTGAGGCACCACTGTGTACGGCGTATTTATCCACTTAAACTAAAAGGTGTAAACAACACCCTAAATTATTAGTATTGAGTTATCCTCTTAATGGCATGTCAGATTTTACCTTCCCCTGTTAATCGTACTAGGTGAAAAAGAGAAGGTATTTTGGTGATTTGGTTTCAAGTAGAACATAAGGTTGACGGAAACCCGGGGACTGTGCCTACCTGAGCCCCAAAAAGGGCGAAACCAGTCGTGGGCTGTCGACGGATTTTCAGCAACCTTATGAGTGGTACATTACGAAGATATGCATGTATCGCGATATCTCGAATATCGTAGCGACTGAAACATGAGGCGGGCTGGTGCAGCACATTCAGTTGCCCGAAAACATCACAAACGAGAGATTCAGCTGGGTTCCAGGTGAGTCTCTCGAAAAAAAACACATTAGTTTGCAAATGAAGGTATGAAACTGTTTTTTTTTGCTCGGATAACATATTTTGCCTGTCTGGTTGCATCAATATCCATCCAAAAAGCATACGCACAAGTTTCCCTAATAGTTGGAGCAGAAACTAACGTCCAAATAAAAAGTGATTTTGTCGATTAAAGACACTTGAATAAGACTGAAACTCGGTGGAGCAAAAACAACAGCAGCCGGAATTCCCAGACGAGCCAAACCGCAGCACGCTAGCAGCAGTGCTCGGCTATTTACATCCCGGTTTTGTGAAGGCGGTAAAGTAATTCTATTGCCCCCAGCTGACTAGCTGAGACAACAATTGACAGCCCATAGGACGCCTGAATTCGAAACTCTCAAACCCCTGGTCTGATCGACTAACAGCGAAAAATTTCAGCCTAATTTTAACGCTATTGGCTAAGCAGGCAAGCTTAGTAAAAATAAGCCAACTCAGGATATATATATATATATATATATCGAAGTCAACGCGACTAGTACTCATGGCACATGGGCCTCCAATTGTAGTATTACATGAAAACGGAGTGAAGCAGTCGATATTGTCGAAACTGTTCTGGACTCAGTTTTCATTGCGAATCTATGATAAAACTTATGAATGGCTTGTATGAACTGTTGCGGGTTTTCCGTGGATCCTTTTGACAAAGCTATTAACAATCAATAAAAAGGACTTTTGGCGTCATTTGGTTCTATCCACCGACTAGTTCAATGAATACGTTACCCAGAAGGTATTTGTTACTACTCTAATGATCGATTAGGAGGGGAAAGAAGACCCACAATTAGGGACCCGTGTAAGGACAATAAAAATTCAGAAAAACACGCAGAATCACATCCAGATACCTAAATAAAGTGGAAAAACAGCCCGCTATGACAGGCGAGATATGCACTGGACCAATTCGTGAATAGTTGGAGAGCCCAGGAAATTGAGAGAACAGAAACTGTGAGTGTTTAAGAGCCATATATTCGTTGAGAGGAGTTCTGTGCAGCAGTGAAAAATTTTCCCCTGATGCAGATGAGTGGAAGTGAATAGGCTTAGGAAGTGCATCCGAAGATGAGAGCTCAGGAGAAAAATTGATATGGTAGTAGTGACATAGCATAAAACTGGTGGCAAAAGGGTTAAAGGCTACCGATCAGAACTGAGTAGACAATGAGACAGTTTTCCGTTGAATTCGATCTACGAGTGAGAGGCAGGTGGAACGGACCCAAGGCAACATCTGACAGAAATGCCCCAAGGTGTCTGATGTTTGTTGATTATGGACGTTCCCGAAACGGAACAGAAATCCGACACTTCAGAGGTCTGAGTCACAATCCATTTGATATCAGATAACGAGAATAATAAATCCGGAAGAGAACAAGACCGACAGCGTTGAATGGAGTCACAGTTGACCATATCGTAGCAACGATACAGGAAGTGTATCTCACGTTATATCTGAAGAAAATATAGAATGGAAGCTCGATGGAATTTAGATCGGTCTAACAAACACAACCCAATACCCAGGGCGTGCTTCAGAAGAAATATCCTGACGCGTCAACTGTTAGGATTCTCGTACATTCGCGCAAACTAATCAAAATTGTTGTTGCACTCAGAATGATTCAAGGGTTTCCTTGAAAGTGCCTTGGTTTCGCTGAATTGGTTCTACACCGACTTAGATTTACACAAACCAGTTTTTACTACGATTACTCTGTACCGAAACGGCAGTGTTAACAATGGGACTTCGAAATTATGCATTTATTTTGAAAAGTACCAAGAACTAACCAGTTTTACAAGTTACCACGGTGTTCAACACCAATTATTCGCTTCTGACCTGCAAACAAAAAACAGGTCTGTCGTGCAATATTTTGCGTAGGATTTCGGCGATTGTTTGTTTTAACTCCCAGTCAGTGGTTATGTTCCACGTAATAAAAAAGGAATAAGCGGTTAAGGTGAAACTTTTCTCCGGGTGTTCTACGGCTGCACGCGGAAGAAACAAGGGTACAAAACAAGCAGAAAGAATACACCACATACTTTGAAACAATCAGGATGAAAACCGATTGGAAAGTACGTAAGGACAAACAAACGAACGGACAGAATGAGGGCATGATTAGTACTTAGTCGAAGGGCACGTGACCTGTATGTCCTCAGTAAGGTCGGGTTTTCCTAACGAAAATCTAGCCCACGTGAAATGGGGAGTGAAAAATATAAAAGCAATACATATCACAGGAAGGAACCTGGGATGCAATGCACAACGATTAGTCACTTACCTATGAATTGGAAAGCTTGCTCGAAATATGGTCGCATCCGGTCCGTGTAGTTGTCGTTGACCGCGATACGGTAAAAGTTTTCGACCGGAATATGCGGAGGCGCAGATCCGTCAACAGAAACATTGATTACATGCGTGATTCCGTATTGATGACAGACAGCTGCGGATAACGCATCCAGTTGACTTCCCAAAACCAGGTGGGGTAGGATGGGTGAGGGACGTGGACTGTCAGATGAGGATAAACCGGGGAAGGAAGTTTCCTTCTGGTAACCGCTGTGAATACCGCTGTAAAGAATGAAAACGCTCATTTGTCAGTGAGGAGGAGAAAAAAAGCAATGGGACCTTAATCCTGATTCACGCATATCTGTGCATGCGACCAAGCTGAAATTTGGTCGCTTGCTGTGCAGCGACATGGTGTGTGCTTCAGAACCAACATACGTTAGAAACGACTAAACTACTGTACTTAAAGTTTGCGAAGTCCTTTGAATATCAATAAATCATCCCTCAACCTGGACAATTGAAATCTGGCAAGGTAAAGAATCGGAAGCAGAATAAAATCCAATTATGGTGCAGAATATGCATCTAAAGAAGTGATTTTAAGGAACCACACTGTTGTTTAGTGCATACAGCGAAAATTAATAGCTTCGGACCTGATACTTACACAGAAAAGGCTTCGGTGTCCGAAAAAATGCTCCAACCTAACCCTCGAGCACGTCCTGTCGAACAACATCGTGAAGAAGACGTTCCCCCGATGCATGCTTTAATCTTCTTTTCATCCAGATTTGACATACATGCTATATGTCCAAATCCAGTAGGAGCGAAATAAGATCGGTTAAAACCAAATGACTGCGCCCACTTTGTAAACCCCGAAAAAGCGAAACTGACAGCAGGTTGTCGGTAAGTTTCGATCTAACTCGTCCTACCACTTATTTACTATTTCGAGTTCTTTGAGCTCGAGAAAACTCGGTGGTTCAGGTGCGAACTTACTGATCGAAAGGTCCGTCATTCGAATCCAACCTCGGCATCAAAACTGCTCCTTCTTAGGCTAGGGCAATCTGGAAGTATTTCGGCCCTCAAACTTCCTTCCAGTGGTACGGAACGTAGGCACCGAAAAGGCTGAAGGGTTTTGCGACCACTACTTACAAGGGTCAGATACACTTCCGATCATATTATGGATAGCGAATTCAGTATTCAACCAGTCTACGGTATGACTACATGGAGCCCGTTAAAAGCACTGGATGTAGGATCAGCAGCGCAGTATACAGCTAATATCACGTACATCCATGTTGTCATTATGTCTCAGCTATATTCAATGTTAACTGTGAGTTGGCCGACTCTGATACCGGAGACATAATTTCGTCGGGACGGGCACATGTAGATGGATGGATGAATCAATACCACGCATCCCATCAGGTCTTCCGTTACACATGGCAGGCGAAAGTTGTTGAGGGTAGTGGCCCACGTTGTACGATATTGTCTCCGTCAGTATTCCAAAAGAAGTAATCAAGGATCAGACACTGTGAATCTAACTCCGAAAATCCATATTCTGTCCATAAGTTCTCCCAAAACTACATTTAGGGTCCCTACGTATGAACCCTATTCCCCAACGACACTGTTTTGAACATCTACTTTCGCAGTTTCGTAGGAATCAGCTCACATGAGTTCACAGTGACCCCATGGTGAGCACTATTCAGTAGACGCACCGGGGCTTCCTCTCGTCATCCAGCAACAGCTAAATTAAATTATGCCATGTGCGTATTAGTGCACAAGATCTTCAACGATATACGTGCGGAATTGGTATTTGAAAGCGGAAATACCGCCCACTCAGTGTTTAGTTAGGCTTTTACGGATTCACTTATGGTGTAGGACTGAAAGGATAGGGCGCCCTCTCTTTAATTTGTCACGTCGTCAGGTTTGTGTACTACATGTAATACATGTGATATATGTAACAATGCATATGTAATACACATGCAGAGGCCGTGCATACTGCCATAGATGTGTTAGCCATCGTAAGGTAAGAAACTCATTCCCAGAAAATTCCAAAAGCAAATGTCTGATGCGATTTTATCTCAACGGATGAAGTGACTTTGGAACTGAAATGATTACTCTTCCACAGAACCTTTGCAGAAGATATATACACTTGGGTAAAGTTTGGACTTCCCGTCGCTGCCCTCCATACCAAAAAGTTTTTGCGAATAGTATATAAGCACAGCAGATTTGTTCGGCTCACCTCGCTCGCTTCACACTTTTGGACATATGAGTCGATTGCGTGAGTTGGGGTGTAGCTGTCATGGGTGTGAAACTGGCAGAGCTCCTGAAAATGTCACTGGACTCAGCAACCGATGAAGAGGACACAAGAGCAGTAGAAGGAACGGTTTCTTCACAGCTGGCCAAAATGTGCTCCAAATCGCAGTCAGAATGATGGTATTCGGCCACATCTTCCCCGGCAAGCCTTTTGGGACTTTCCCAGCACAACTCTGGATAGAGTGCATGGAAAGTTAAGAATCCACCTGAAATATGGAAAAACAGTTAAGAAAACTACCTTCAGTCGCCACTGATACACAAAGTGAAAAGATCCAGTGTCCATTTGATAAAGGAATTGCTCTGGTGAACTATCGGTAACGAAGTATTTTGAAAATCGGCTACAAGAAGCGCCACACGACCAGCCTGCGAGGAGAGGTAAACGCAAGAAAAGCTTTTTCGACAGGCTGGTCGCGGAATACCGGCTGGCGTTCGGTTATTGTCCAATCGGCACAGCAGCCAGAATTACTCACCACATACACATTGATTGCGTTGCACACTATGCGCATGAATCATCAGCACCAACCTGTGATTTGGTTGTGCAAATAAATGGACCACAAACCAGTTCTTGGAACACCGAATATCCTTTTTCACCAAACAGACCTACAAAATGACGCGCGGCCCGCAAAAGTGCCACAAGAGAAAAGCCTTTCAAGATCTGATTGCCAATGCATTTAAGAGACGCACAATATACGAAATAAGATAATACGTCTGCATGCACAAGACACATTCGAATCACGGTGTAAAAGTGGATGCCAAATAAGTAGAGGCCTTAAAAATTGGGTACGGTCAGGACAGTTTTGACTGACAGACTGGTACTGAACATACGTAGTCTTTTTGATAAAAAGCACCAGTCAACATGTCCCCTTTGGGATTGTTTAGTTGGTTGATTTTAACCAATAAAAAGGCAGTTGACTGAAAGTTGATACGATTACCTGAACTCGAATCTGATCACAAAATTCATCTACTGTTTCAAGCCACATACAAAGACTGTCTGGAACGTAGAAGTGTTCAACTAAATGGGAACGGAAGGTGTATAAGTTATTGTGCATACTGATCAATATGAAGCCCTAGGTCAAACAGTGGAGAGTGCGATAATGGAGAGAAGAATCGCCAACGAATTTCGGAACGAAGAGCTCCACAAAGTACATCAAAATGAACTAGTAGTGCAATCTGATTACTGGCATCCTTACATAGTAAAGTCTTTTGCAAATAAAGGAAACCACGCAGAAATTTCACTCGCTCCTACGAGTTCCAACTTTCTAGAGCTCGTAACACGCATGGAGAAAATTACAGCCCAACACTAACTGAGTTCTGAAAAAAAAACTGCCTTTCAAACAGACATAGCTACTGGAAGCTCCTTTCTCTCTGTCCTTCATAATAACATGTATGCCCCGTGTTTGCGGCGATGAAAGTTTATCAATAGATCATTGGGAGGACTTGCTACTACATCGAATTCGTCATACAGATATACTTGCTTAATGACACTTTTCCTCAGAAATAGTGGTGCTATTATAACCAGAAGTAACCGCTTCATGACAAACAACAGGGATGCACCATTGAGAAGTGGATAGTTAAACCCGGCGTTGTTCACGGCGATGTGAAAAAAAGCTTAATGTGTATTGACTTGTGAAAGTACCGAACAAGTTCTGAAGTTGGGACCAATCTAGGGATAGATCTGCTCGGTCAAACGAGTTTCGAAGGGATTACAAGCGGTAGACGCGTTGATACGTACTCAAAAACTCATTCCGTTCAGTGGCTTTTTCTAGCATCTTTATGTGGCCAAATCTAGTAATTTTTCTGAAGAACACCTCGAGGAGAGGGCAAACTGTGTATACTTTAGGGGATGAGTGGACGGATATCTCGTGGGCAGGAGATCCTACAGAAACTTGGAGGGAAATAATCGCTGTAGACTGTCCTGGAGAGAGTTGTTTTTCCGAAGGGACTAGTACGTATCCCAGACAAGAAAACAAATTATAGGAAGTATAGAAACATACGCAGACAATCGAATATTACAACCAGATTAGACAGAATCTGAAGGCGACGGAGCGATATTGTCACTGTTGGTGAATATGAAATTCCACTCCAAATCGTTGGATAAATTATTGCGTTACTAATGTGGTCTATGTGCACAGCGGTTAACATGCTTATGGTATTATTTCTGTATGGGGTAGTTGGTTATACAGACAAACTTTTGCTGTGAATACTATTCGACATGAGACAAAGAAAAGAGGAAATAGTGCTTCCGAACCACCCATGGCAACTAGTGGCAGTCAAAAAACCATTGCCTTGTAGTGGTTGACTACTGAGGCGGTATTTCAAGTCGACCGACTAACCAGTACCACAACCATATCAGTGACGAACTCTCAAAGGTTTCGTTTTTCACTAAACAAGACTACAGGAATTTTGCTTGCGGATAATGAACCCCAATTCTCAAACAAAGAGTTTAAAACCGAGGAAAAATGGGTGCTTTCAGCATCGAAAGAGCAGTCCTTACTACAGCCAGTCCAACGGCAAAGGACAGTCAACGGTGAAAGCAGCCAAAAACGTAAGAAAGGAATCGCACCCGTGTTGCCAGAACGATGGAACCCACCGACACCGCCAGTAGGGTACAGTCCAACTACATTATCAAACGGATCAAATAACTGTTCAGCTGTAGCACCCTTTCAGTGCCTAGCTGCCATGCATGCCACTATTGTCAGTTTGTTAGCGCTGAAAGCCCCAAACAAAAGACGTTACAAAGTTATTAAAGGAAGGGGAAAATGAGTCGAAAATAGTTATACGATCACAATACAAAACCTTGCCAGAACTACACTCCGGGAAGTTTAAGTGGGATGTGTGCCGTAGCAAAATAACAAGTTGGTTAATGTGTAGTGCGTGAAGGATATAGGTTTCGTGCATACAGCGAAGTGGAAGCAGGGACCGCGAAAGCACTTGCGTGAATGCGAAAGCGTGGCAGACATACCAGCTGAAGAAGACAGACAGACCATAAATGGACAACCTCACCAAACAGGGAAGGGTGTGACATGTTGGTGGATTCTCACAAACTCTACGAACCACTGCACTTTCCAACAGGGATTCGTCTGAGTGCATCAAATGCACTCCCGCTATTGGTTCCAAAAACAGAATTTTTTCGAAGTAGCATGTTTACTTTTGTTATTTGAGATTGCCTGGACGTTTCGGTAGACACCTAAATGCCGACGACGTGACTTTTTTGACACAAAGGAATTTTGGTAAAAATCCAACATCAGATACCCAATAGTCACCTGTTTCAGAGAACGCTGGCCGTACCATATGATGAATGGGAACAACCTGAATGCAGACAAGTAACGCCTTCGTGATGAAGATACGAAAGTAAGGGAAAGGATGCGCAAACAAGCACGGAAGGCACGACCCGGTCAGTCAATAAGGTTGTTGCATCGAAGCGATGCACGATCTGAACTTCGACTTCCTACCAAGCATATATTCTGCTAAGCGGAGGCAGAACATGACCTCCAATACGTATCTGTCCACGCCTTGTTACTGAGGCTGTTGTACCTTTGTAAACAGTTTACAGCAGCTAAATCGAACTGAGTTTAGCCAAGTGGCAATGAGAAAATACACCGTACAGCAGTACCGCGTCAAATGACGAAATCTATTGAATATAATGGATTCACTATGGTAAGGGCAAATTCGAAGTTCACTGAGCACAATAGTTGGAAGCAAGGATTGCACTGCGGTACTCACCCTTTAATAAAAATATTGAGCAAAACTTTTTCGACAGTTGTCCAAGGACGGAGTGTAAAAAACAATCGGGGCTTAGGTTCCGGAGGTCATCCAGACAATGGTCATACACGACTACAGGAGTGGCGTGGAGTGCGTCAGTATCATGTGGTAAGCCCATAAGACGCTGAATAAAGACATCTATAGGGACCTGAAATACGAGTACTGCATAAAGTATTGTAAACATAGAACATACCATCAGCTGGAGAAATTTTCTCCGAAAACCTCGATTGCCCCCAATATTTACAGCTTGGGTGATGTGATTTGTGTTGTAGTCTACGAAGGACCTCACATCCAATAAGATAAACTGTAGTGTAGGGTTAGAAGTACACACGAAGCACACGTACTGATTGATCCATACGGATCCTCTCTGCCAGACATCCTGGATCGACCAACTGGACAGTTGACTGGAGGGATGATTCGTCCATCAACTGCACTAAGAGAACACTAAAACAAAAAAAGCAGACTAAATTGGCAACATAATGAATTATAGAATAACCATCCACCATCAACAGTTACATCGTTGATATGTTGTCACAAAACCACACCTTGCATGGGAACAGTGCAAAAATCAACAGATAAGAAAGATGGCTAAACAACTGGTGAGGCCTACAGCTCCATTCACTTACGCAATCTGACGCTGGCCGGGAGCTATATTTTGTGGGGTGAGGTTAACACAGACTTCAATGTGCAGAGTCGGTAGCACCAAAACTACTCAAGCATCAAGTAGTCAGCCTCGGAACCTTCCGTCAGTTCGAAAGTTTATCACCAAGTTTAACAACATAATCAATCACGAGTGGAAAACAGTGTTTATTTCTATACGAACAACATACGGAGTTGTTGTCCAGTTGAAACTAGTCTCGTCAATGAGAATAAATAAAAACACCCACGTTGAAAGACCAAACAGTGACTCTGCTTCCAGACATGTGTCGATTTCTCTCCTGACTCCCTTATCTATCTTCTTAGTCAATTTATTTCGCCCAGCCATCTCTGCAGATACCTTGCTTGTAACGGCTTAACAAGACATGACCCCTTGTCTTATTGGAATGATGAGCCTTACTTGTACAAATTGTTTGAGTTGTACATGCTTTCAGGGAATACATTCGATCATTGGAGATCGGTCTGCATACTTCCATTCCATAACCTAAATACCAAAGAGCCCCATTCACACTCTCAAATCCTTTGTGGTCTTCTTGAAATGAATAGAGATAAGAGATTAGACGTTCAGCTGTAGCACCACTTTAGGTGCCTAGCTACCATGCCACCTGAGGGAAGCACGAGGGCTGGGATACTGCCAGGTTGCCCAGGTCCAGACAGGGGAAGTCGAGTGGCGGAGGTCGGATTCGAACCGCGGACCTTCCGGTCAGTAAATTCTCGCTCTAACCACTTGGCCCAAGTGGTGAGTTAGAGCACCATCTTATTTCTCTTTTGTGTGGCATGGCAGCTAGGCACCGAAAGGGTGCCACAGCTGAACGATTATTTTATTATCAATATCGGGGCGAGATGACCCAAGTGGTTAGAGCGCGAATTTACTGACCGCAAGGTCCGTGGTTCGAACCCGACCTCTGCCTCTCGACTTCCACTGTCTAGGCTTGGGCGACCTGCCAGTATCTCAGCCNTGCCAGTATCCCAGCCCTCGTGCCTCCTTCGCCCCGAATTACCAAGGGAGATGGCAATAACCAGCAGAGTTGAGTTAGCCTATAAAGGCCCTCAAACTTCGCTGCCAAGTCATTGTTTGACCTTCCCTGGATCGTTTCCACTCTTCTCGTGGTCTGATTCCACCTAGTCTTGCTGAATCAATATGTACTTTGCATAAGTGAAGTGCATGCCGAACCGACCGTCAGAATTACTCGGACTATTTAGTAGTGCTTGCATTACGACTGCATCACTATCACAAAGCGCCATGCCATCTGCGCACTCGATATCGAATGCATTCCTACCATTTCGAGCATTATGACCACTATGACCACACGCATTAGAGGTTGGTAGTGAGTCCTCCATAATCGTATCAGTCATGAAGTCGAAGAGGAAAAATGAAAGAGATCGCCTTGCCTGACACCGCTTGATGTGGTGAACTCAGGCGAGAGATTCCCACAGAACATGGGAAGTCATCCGCCGAAGCTGGCGTACAGCGTCTTAACAAAGATCAAGAATTTATGGGGGGAACCTCTGTTACATAGACACTGCCATAGTGCCCCACGGTCCACGAAGTCAAAGGCAGCTTTCAAGTCAAGGAAGACAACAACTATTGGTTGCTGGAGGCAGTATCGCTGGTAATGAATCTGTCAGTGAAGCATCAGTGTTGAACACTGATGTCATGCTGTCGATGATGATGATGATGATGATGATGATGATGACATAGGGTGAAAATGTTATCGATGCATCCTCCTGTAGTATGTAACTCAGGGTGGGTTCTACGGATCTGTCTCTCCCTGCGTTCACTCAACCCTCGAATCGAAGGATAAGGGATTACCTTAGATTCCACAGCTACAAAGTTAATGTGACACTGGTTTTCACATAGAGCCGGCAAACCCCATTTGAAGGGAAGGTAAACTGACGGTGCACCCCATTCTTCAGGTGCTTTCTCTTCACTCCACATTACACTATGGATTCTCCACCTTCTTTGAAAAAAGGTTGGATATGGACCGTCTGGCCCTAGTGCCTTCTCACATTTCAGTACGGATATTTCGTAATTTTTTTTCCGACGATCGATTAAGGCTTATATTCCATGCGCCTGTAGGGCCTGCTTCCACAGGCTGTACTGCCGGAGGTCAAGTAAACTCCGAAACGTTCTGCCCGTCTTTCCAGTTGCCGTTTTTGCGAGTGAAATAATGAGTCTCCTTTTCATCTATTGTTTCACTGACCATTGCTTTCCTAGAGTCAGTCGATCGTATCAGCTGATATAGAGCACGGTTGTTCCCGGTAGCAAAAGCCTTCTCCATCTGCCGGGCTTTCGAATTCCATCGGAGCTCTGTCTTTCCTTAGGCTCTTCACTATTTGGTGCTTGAGGGATTTCGTGAGTAGTACTCCTTGTCTGCTGGTACGGAATTCCTGGCATTGATGAGGACCAACGATCTCAACGACATCCAGTAGTCACTGGACCGCTAGCATAGCGTCTTCCACATCTTGCTATGCTTCATCCACGTGCTCGCTACCAGTACAGTTTGCCTTACTGTAGAGTAGCTGAGCTAGTTCAACTCGATACTGCTGAGCTATGGTAGTGATCCTAAGATTGATTGGCATGTTTCTTGCTGATTGACAAGGGTCTGAGGAGAAGCGAACTGACAGGCGAGCACGCACCATGGCGTGATCGGAATCAAGTTGTGTGCAAAGGAACGGTATTCTTGAATTGTGGTTCTCAACCATGGGCTGATGGCCACGTGATTCAACTGAGTCCACTGGTGATTTGCAGTTAGTGACCGCCACCTCATGTGATACTAACGTTTATGCCGAAAATTCGTACCGGCCAGAAACAGTTTACAGTCAGCACACAACTTGGTCTACATACCAGAACATTCATGTGACCAGCAACCACAACGAAGTATGAGCTTTTAGCAGCTAGAGCGCCGTAGAAACTGTTCCAAATTTGGAGCTACAGTCAATTGGGGCGTAAGCAGACATGATAAACAATGTGCGGTAGACCTCGCTTCCACGATATACTTTCACAGGTGTTGCCAAACGAACCACACAGCGGCGACTATCAAAGCGTAGCCAATGAAGGGGAAAAGGTCCCGCTCGTCCGCTTAATAAAATACTTAACCCTGCATATACAAGTGCGTAGGCCTCCATATCACCAGAGCTGCGCAGACTGAAGCCTGGAAGAAAGCGATTGGCCAGTCAGTTCTGTTACAGTACGTGGGTCCCGTATCCTTGTTTCTGACAGACGAGCAAGAGCCGCCTGCTTCGATGTGCGAAAATTAAAGGCAGCTAAGTAAACCGCCTTCCGGTGTTTGAAAGCAGACTTCGAAGTGTTAACGGTCGTTACTGAAGTCAGACAGAAGTTGCAGCTGAGTGTGATGCACAGTGATCAAAGCGGTCAATCATAGTGCAGGGGAGCCTGCGGACAGAATATCCAAAGTTGGATGGAGACGAACTAGAAGCTGATTGGGAAAAGCGGAATTGTGTATATGTGCTGCAAAGGAAACTGTGTTTGAGGAGCACGTGAACCTCAGAAATCAGTACAGTTAGTTGGTACCAGTAACAGGGGACTGGCAGTCCTCATTCGCTGTTCGATTGGCGTCGAAACCCGACCTGATCAACAGGCAAGTCAGCCGTTTGAGGAATGTCAAACACGAATTGCCTTTACTCGCCACACTTAACGGGAGCAGCAGCACTCCAGAGTAAACTGCAGATATCTTGCTTAGACAGGACGAAGCAACCTCGGCAGCTCGGCTCACCCTGCTCTTGCATATTGTCCGTGCTCTTATCAAGCACGGCGGTGGAACTGATGAATTACTCAATCTACAGAAAAATGCGGACGGCTGACTATTGAGCGATCACACTTCATCGGGATATTCAAAGCATGGGTTCCGGAAGAAACAATTATCTCACAAACCTTCTGTCAACCAAAGGTAGCTTAACCTTGGAGATGAGGCATAGAACGACGGTATCTATCTAGAATTCCCAAACGTTTTCGACCGAGTGCAGCAATTTACACTAAGCTGCTTGAGAGGATGAAACAGGAGTGAGGGCGTAACACTCTCCAGTGAACTCCACATGGACTTTGCTTTCAACGACGACCTGCCAGCACCTCTGAATCCGTCTTTACCAACAAAACCAATCTATCGAGGGTAATCCGAACCCACAAGCAAAACTCGTCCAGGAAGAACACTTCCCATTCAATGGACAAGAGTCTCAAACGCTGTCATTACGTTTCATCAAGCAGAAAATTCCATTCTTGACTCTCATGTGCTACTCACTTATAATAACAAAAGTCGTGTGACAGAACAACACGAACGCTTCCAAGCAACGAGAGACAGTTGCCGCAAACAATAAGCACATCAACGTTAAACACAAAGAGAGAAAGGTTTTCATAAACTTCCGGGTCCATAAATAAGACCACAATAACACCTGACACCTATGACACTTCCGAGTTTCTGACGTCATACTGACGCCCACATTGAAACATTCGAGCGTATGGAAACCTACTCATAGCACCTCTGACAAAACACCCATTATACAAACCCCAAAGTAGGACGCTAGAGGCCCCAGTAGAATGAGACACGGTGATGGAAACCCCACCAGTTTGAGTTTGTCCGGTTTCAAACTAGACCAATATTGCGTTCAATCATTGGTTGGAGTTGTCGCGCACCACTGAGATAGAACACTTGAGAAATCAAAACTTCCACCAAGGTTACGAACCAGACATACTGTACGAAAATGGAGTCAAATGTCATGATCATTGTCGGCTGTCTTAACCGCGTACTTGTCATACAGTGGTTTTAGATGCCACAGTTTCCTTCACCGTATTTGAGCTTCCAATGTCTAACACGGTTAACTTAGACTCATCAAGGGCGTTCACTTTCGGACGGAGGACTTGCACCTCCATCTAAAGCAGCAAAACAAAACGAATACAATAGCCCTGAAGCAACGTCGCGCGGACGCACAAAAGAATTGAGCGGCTGACAAGCTTACAAAATTTCACAACCACGATGTGTTCACTTTTCCAGACCACCGTAAGAGCGACAGAACAAACACAAGATCATTGATATAGGTGCCCATAGGCAAACTTGATGTTGCATAATCAATACTGCGGGCAAACTCAGCTACAATCACCGAATAAACCAAGAAAATGCCCCCCTCAGAGCATTTGAAATTTTACTTAGGTCAGACAGCTCGGATCGATTGCCTTGATGCTGAAATCTCCTGATGCTTCTGAAAATACTCTTCCAAAGTTGATGTACCATCAGAATCACTGTCACATCCAGAAAGAGCTCAGAGTCAGCCCGACAATTTTGGAGCGCCCGCCTTGGAGGTCATTTTCAAGGTCGCAACGTTCACGGGTTCACAAATTCACGGATTGATACACAGGATCGAGGCGTTTATCCAAGTTTCCCGGGTCGGTTTTGTTCTTGTCGGTCAGTGGCTGTCGTTCACCTGAAAGGTACAATAGAAAAAAGGGTGTAGCACTGCTCTTTATGGTCGTTGGCTTGTTCGTTGAGCTGGGCAATTTGGTTGCAAACGTTTCATCACCAATCGAGGTGACATCATCAGTGCGTAGTTGTGCGTAGCGGTGGGTTAGTGGTTGTGCGTTCAGTAGTGTTACGTGTGTGTTGATATACGTGCAGGTAGCCGGAGATGACCTTTGACGGCGATTAGCTATTCTGTCGGGCGGTTCAATGGGTTGTTCTTTGATCCCGTGTCCTCACGACCTACAAATCAATCGATCATGACCCAACTCCAAACGTCGTCAATCGAATCAACACGACACTAAAGAAAC